TCTTGCGGGATGCATTCAGGTTGCGCCTGCAAATGCTTTGTGATGGCGCTATCACTTGTTGCCACACGTTTGTCAGGCGGCTTCTTGTACAGCTTGTCTGGGATATGCTGCTTGATCCTTTCCGAAAATCGCTGACATGTCTCACCAACGTACATTCGCTCACAGCGACACGCATATTTATTAGGGCTGAAACGATCGTGGATTTTCACCTATCGATTACTCTTGAGCTTAACGATCGATTTATCGATTATAATCGTTAGCAGATAGTGTCAGAATTTTGTGCAAACATTGCTCTGTTTCCGAAATCTAAGCCATCATAATACCACAAATTTGCATTAGTGACAGGGTAGCTCAGAAACATGGTAGTTATAAAGTCAATTTAACCTCAGAATATGCACCATGCCCTAGGCAACTGCATACTCACAGTGGATACTGATTAAAACTTCACAAAAACGAGGGTTTTCAGTACTTTTTGGACTCAAAATCCCTCAACGAGTAATCTATAACGTAACGATTACTTGATTGATAAGGAATTATCGATCGATTACCGAGTAATTGGTATAATCGTTTCAGCACTAATATTTATAAATAAAATTACTATTTTCAAGAGTTGGTGAAACATCCTTCGCGATAGACCTGAATGCGGGCCTGGTTGTATAAATTACAATGGGGGATACTGTAGGATAGCAGTTCAAAATTGCAGCTTTAATCTTTTTGCGGAAGGCAATGCAATTTTGCCCTTTCCACGGCAATTTTGTGATAATACGCGTTGCAGGTTCAAGTTGTGCAGAAGCTGTATCTGGGCTAGGTTCAAGAACGCTTGTCATGACTCGCTTGAGTACTTTGAGTGGGTAACTGTTAGAACACAGAATATCCTCTAGCTTAGCAATTTCAGCTGATAATAGTGATGGCGAGCAGATGTTTTTAGCTCTGAAAGTTAATGATCTGATCAAATTGATTGCACGTCTGATGTGGCTTTGAAAAGCAGCTTCTTGAAAAGATCTTGGGGTATTTGCTGGGGTATTTGCGGGCAGTTCAGTTTCAATGGCAATATGTACGCACAGAGGGACGGAGTAGCCATGGGTTCACCCTTGGGCCCCGTGCTAGCCAATATCTTTGTTGGATATTTTGAGAACACAATTCCAGACAGTCATTGGCCCCAATTCTATAGGCGTTATGTGGATGACACATTCGCAGCATTTCAAAACCGGAAACTGGCATTGGAATTCTCTGAGCGTTTAAATAATCTTCACCCAGCTCTCCAGTTTACAATGAAGGAGGAGAATAATGGAGAATTGCCGTTTCTTGATGTATTGATTAAGCATTCTTCCACAGAATTGCTCACCACAGTATATAGAAAGCCGACGTTCACAGGTCTTTACACCCGCTGGGACTCGTTTTGTGACACTAGAAACAAAATCAATTTGATCAGATCATTAACTTTCAGAGCTAAAACCATCTGCTCACCATCACTATTATCAGCTGAAATTGCTAAGCTAGAGGATATTCTGTGTTCTAACGGTTACCCACTCAAAGTACTCAAGCGAGTCATGACAAGCGTTCTTGAACCTAGCCCAGATACAGCTTCTGCACAACTTGAACCTGCAACGCGTGTTATCACAAAATTGCCGTGGAAAGGGCAAAATTGCATTGCCTTCCGCAAAAAGATTAAAGCTGCAATTTTGAACTGCTATCCTACAGTATCCCCCATTGTAATTTATACAACCAGGCCCGCATTCAGGTCTATCGCGAAGGATGTTTCACCAACTCTTGAAAATAGTAATTTTATTTATAAGTATGCGTGTCGCTGTGAGCGAACGTACGTTGGTGAGACATGTCAGGGATTTTCGGAAAGGATCAAGCAATATATCCCAGACAAGCTGTACAAGAAGCCGCCTGACAAACGTGTGGCAACAAGTGATAGCGCCATCACAAAGCATTTGCAGGCGCAACCTGAATGCATCCCGCAAGAACGCAACAGCAGCTTCAGTGTCATCACACCAGCCCGGAACAGCGCGCACAGATTCACACTGGAGGCGCTGTACATTCGCAGTTTGAGGCCAGAGCTGTGTCGACAAAAGAAGCACATCAAGGTGCTGCGGCTGTTCAAGTTGCAACCGGACTGACAACTTTATCATGTGTTTGTTCTGGTACTGCATTCCCTTCATGTGTTGTTTCCCGCATTTTTCCACCGCTCCATACATTCTTATGGTAGTGTAGTGTGAACTTGAGGCGCGTAAGAATATTCTTGCTGATTCTCTACCCCCAGTATAAATTCTGGCTTCGTTTTCGTTCTTGCTCATTCCCATGTATCTACTGATGAAAATGAGTGAAAAGCTTTTAGTATTATGAAACTGACAACCTTGTTGTTGTGTGTATATAAATTTTGTTCGCCTACCTCTCTGTTTAAAACATATACATATATAAACAGAGAGGTAGGCGAACACAATTTATATACACACAACAACAAGGTTGTCAGTTTCATAATACTAAAAGCTGTTCACCCATTTTCATCAGTAGATACATGGGAATGAGCAAGAACGAAAACGAAGCCAGAATTTATACTGGGGGTAGAGAATCAGCAAGAATATTCTTACGTTCAAGCTGCAACCGGACTGACAACTTTATCACGTGTTGTTCTGGTACTGCATTCCCTTCATGTGTTGTTTCCCGCATTTTTCCACCGCTCCATACATTCTTATGGTAGTGTAGTGTGAACTTGAGGCGCGTAAGAATATTCTGGCTGATTCTCTACCCCCAGTATAAATTCTGGCTTCGTTTTCATTCTTGCTCATTCCCATGTATCTACTGATGAAAACGGGGGAAAAGCCTTTAGTATTATGAAACTGACAACCTTGTTGTTGTGTGTAAATATATTTATCACTCTTCTATATCGACCTCACTAATTCTCGTGATCCTTGACTGGTCCTATATTACCCATATCGCCGCAATATCGACGGCTTATATCGACCGCTTGTATCGACCACTTAGGCATTGTAATCTTTCGACTTTGGAGGGACTTAGAATTTTTCTCTCCACTTCAAAAAGAAAAATTGAAAGAAAGAAGACAAAGGAAGAGAACAAGCAGGATTCGAACTCACAACAGTATGAATCTCAAGCAACCCCTTATACCAACCAGCCACTGTGCTGCAGATGCTGAACCCTGTTGTTCTTACAGTCTTGTACCCAAAATAGGCAACATCCTTTGTACACTATAGTACAAATGCTATACTAAAAAGGTTAAAATAGCTCCTAAAGGTTCAAATTTTGGGGTTATGGCAAAGGAATCGCGATAAATAGGATATTGACCTTGACTTCGGTCTATATGGGAAATATAGGCCTCGTAAAAGACCTCGGCAGACCTCGGTCCTTTACTCGGATTATATTTCCCATATAGACCTCGTCTTGGTCAATATCCTATACATATATATATATACTCAATCTGCGGACAGAACTGTTTCGTCCTTTGTGGACTCGTCAGCGCAGCACAGAGCAAATGAGGCCGAACCTGATAGCAATGGAAATAAAAATTTCCAATCAGGCCCGAACGTACCTTGCCAGAGTGCTCAAACTGACAAGTCAGTGAGCTCTGTATAACACAAACAGCAATGGCACTACCCCACGCAAGAGTGCTCAACTGCTACAAGAGCAGGAGCGAAATACTCAATCTGCGGACAGAACTGTTTCGTCCTTTGTGGACTCGTCAGCGCAGCACAGAGGAAATGAGGCCGAACCTGACAGCAATGGAAATAGAAACTTCCAATCAGGTCCGATATATATAAATAGAGAGGTAGGGGAACAAAATTTATATACACACAGCAAGGTTGTCAGTTTCATAATACTAAAAGCTTTTCACCCATTTTCATCAGTAGGTACATGGGAATGAGCAAGAACGAAAACGAAGCCAGAACTTATACTGGGGGTAGAGAATCAGCAAGAATATTCTTACGCGCCTCAAGTTCACACTACACTACCATAAGAATGTATGGAGCAGTGAAAAAATGCGGGAAACAACACATGAAGGGAATGCAGTACCAGAACAAATACGTGATAAAGTTGTCAGTCCGGTTGCAGCTTGAACAGCCGGACTGACCGGACTGACAACCTTATCATGGATATTCTGTGTTCTAACAGTTGCCCACTCAAAGTACTCAAGCGAGTCATGACAAGCGTTCTTGAACCTAGCCCAGATACAGCTTCTGCACAACTTGAATCTGCAACGCGTATTATCACAAATTTGCCGTGGAAAGGGCAAAATTGCATTGCCTTCCGCAAAAAGATTAAAGCTGCAATTTTAAACTGCTATCCTACAGTATCCCCCATTGTTTTCCGCATTTATAGTACAGCAGTACACGATCACAATGTCCAAACAAATAGCTGTTTCGACCTTGTTAGGTCTCGTCAACGGAGCTCAGAGTTACAGGCCAAATCAATCGCAATAAAGTCTAATGAAGAACAAAGCATTTTCACACAGGCTCTAAGCATCAAGGTCAGAGGGCACCAGCTGTGATAAACACAGCGAGCTTTGTACCAGGGCAGATAACTTTGACACAAACCAGACAGAAACGAGGGAGCGTAATACTCTAGAGGTAGTACATTCATGACTTCTGTTGTCCCTGAACGTCTATTACAATAATTACTTGAACTGTTTACCAAGTATGCAACACATGACAAAAAAAGGTGCTAGATACATGTAGGCTGCTCAGACTGGTCAGTGGAAAATTCTAACATAGATCTGTAGGAGTTAGTCAGTCCCAAAAGTTTTTAATGCTCCTCCACACTAGGCACACCTTTTGGTTGACAAAGAGAAGAATGTATGTAGGTCTTCCGTCATGCAAGAGCATTAAGATACACACGGCAAAAATGACCTTGAGGGCTAGGATTGAGTTGAGTTAAAGTTGATTTGAATACCTAGACCGTCTGCCGACCCCGGCTAGGTAATCCGAGAAAACCGTTTACGTCTCACGTCAACTGTAACCTTTCTGCACGCTTTTGTTCAGCTTTCATTTGAAGGCATTTGTGGGCGCGGGCCTCGTAGTGACATTGCTATCGATGACATAGGCTTCGAAGACGACTGCTCCTCTGGAAACCCATCTGCCAGCTGTAAGTTATGTTCAACATATCTGTATATTGCTGGTGATGTCAGGTGGTGATGTCAAGTGGTGATGCCGGGTGGTGATTTCCTAGGAGCAAGATGGGAGTTGCATCCATTGCGGCATCATTATCACAGCGTATGTGTATGTGTGTACGTGTATGTGTGTGTATGTGCGTGCGTGCGTGTGTGCGTTCGTGTGTGTGCGTGTATGTGTGTGAGATGTGGTTCTTTCAAACACTTATTTCTTCACTTGTGCACACACACGCACATGCACACACAAACACACACACACACATGGACAAATACGCATTCCCAAATGTACACACATTCACAAACGTACACACATTTACAATGTGGATTGTGCGGATTGCTGCGGATCGTCCAGCATGGAACGCGCTGGTGAAGAGTGTTTGTGCACACCCCCGTGACGAGTAGAAACAGCCATGGCACCCTTATAAACTCATAACAACCATTCTATATGTGGAAAAGAAAAGGACATATGGATACGAGTTTAGAGTAACTCTCCATCACTGTAACTAGATACTATTATACAGTCAGAAAGTTCAATGACTAGGCACAAAACTGACAGAGTACTGAGACATTCGACGTCTTGACACCTAGCTTCAACACATCTCCGTAGCGCTAACCGACAGCCTTCCAACTTGGAAGGTTCAAGGTTATGAAAAGACCAAAGAGGGGAAGGCAAGCGCAGTAAAAGTGATGGAGAGTTACTCTTAACTCGTATCCATATGTCCTTTTCTTTTCTACTAGGGGTGAAACAATTATACCGAATACTCGAGTACTCGCTCGGTTTTTTTCAGAAATAATCGTACTCGGAATAAATCAAAGTACTTGTTCATACGGTACATGCATTTACCACAGAAATCTGCAGTTTGAGAGCAGCAGTCGGCAGATATTGATTTGCAGACTGTGTGGTGAACATTTGTTCACGAGTAGAGAGAGCCCAAATGACCCAGCAACCAATATACCAGAGAAAAATGACTGCCACTCGGTTCAATCAGGGTTGTATCATGTGATTTTAAGGTGGCAGTACCCCTTTAAATTACCTGTTGCGAGAGATACCAGAAGTCCAGTTTGGCAGGTCATAGACCAGTAAAACTTTGGCAATGGTCTCATAATGCATCTGGCCATGCGCACAAGAAAATTTAGAGCTCTATGATGGTTAAAAATGGTAAAATCAGGTTCCAGAAAAAAGACGGGCATATCGCACATATCTACAAAACTCAAGCCACAAGGGCAGGCAGAAAAATCTATAACACAAGGGCGGTCATGCTTGTGCAGATGTACTATGGGTAGAGGCAGGTGCCAAACCTCAAATTTTAGTGAAAGAGAGAACATGAAGGAACACCCAGAACAGCCAAAAGTAGAATTAACGGAACGGCAAAAGTTCTTACAAATCTTCAAGCAAGCCAAGCCAAAAGATGGTCAGTTTCTTAGTACAGATGTGAGGTTCAGCACCTTGGAAATTGTGTGTAGATAGGAAAAATGCCCTACATTGTGGCAGTGTGATGCACCAATCTAGAGATATGATGGCTCACAGCAGCCGCTATACATGAAAATAGGCCTAAAATCAGCAAAAAAAGGGACTCTTCAAAACCCACCGGCAGCATATGTGTCGCCTTCCGTCTCCTTCGCGTGGTCCTCGAAGCCCTTCTTCACAGCTCTCCGGTGTTTCCTTGCTTTCTTCTCTTTGTCTGACATCTTCCTCTTTCTGTGGTACTCTTTGTCTTGGTCTAGCATAGCCAGATTCTTCTTCAATTGTGCACCCACTGAACAGCCCATGCGACGTACAACATCAGCCAGGCTCCCATGTCCTTCATTGAAGAGCAACACTGCTAGGTACACAGCAGTTTCAACAGTCTGTGAGCCACAGAACATCTCTTTCGGGTATAAGTGCCAAATCATGGAGTTCAAGGCTTCATTCACATTCTGCGTGGCGCCACGGGTGCAGCGTTCCAGCAGCTGTAAGTCAGTCAGACGCATGTACAGTGGCTTCATTTCTTCAAACACAGCAAGTGGTATGGTATTGCTGGAAGAGACTGCACCTGTGCTTGCTTCACTGTGGCTGGACGGGGCTTTTTCTCGTTGATATCTGCACCATGATGTGGTGGCTTCTGGACAGAACTGATGTCGCTTTGTGAGGTCTGGGAATTCCACGCTGTGGCAAACTGATGCCCAGATAGCACGAGCCATACCTGATGTTGAGCCGGGATTGCTGCGGATGGCTGCGCCATAATAGTTCTGCAGAGAATCAATTTTGCTGCCAGTCAATCTTCCTTTTCCGCCAATCGGCTTCCCATCAGATAGTGGCTTTGACCCACACTTCTGCTTCAGAGTACGTAAGTTGTGGCCAACACGCTTTTGAACGTGGCCAACACACTCCTCCTTATCAATATTCGTGTCACCATATGGCTTCAGCTGACATACACTGCGGTAGGCCTTCGAATCCCCATCACCAATGTAGCTTGTGTACGCTCGGTGTGCAATTTTAAGGAGATGAAAAATACTCGAATACTCGAATATTCGATCGGAGAAAATCAGAGTACTCGAACTCTGGATCTCAATGCCAACTTTCACCCCTATTTTCTACATTTATTAATGGCTCAACATCCGAGTTTCTAACCATTCTATAATAATTATTACTATTTGAATCTTTTAATAACTATCTGGAAACTCAGCCTCGTACATTATAATTATCTCGCCACCCATTGACCATGATGCTATATGAAGAGACAATAAAGATGACGTTTCCCCCAACGACACCAAAATTATAACGCTCCATGTTACTCTATGTTACTGAAGTACTAACTTTGGTCATTGGTTTGTAGAGCCCCATTCTCTAGGAGACATCTACATCTGCTCTGTTTCAATGTCCAGCATAAGCGAACGTGTGGATCAAGCATAACTGCTTGGTTGACGCTGCCGCGGAAATGCGTATAATAATAACACGCATTCACAAACGTACACACATTTGTATTTGTATTTGTATTTATATCATTATCTCATGGCAAATCATGATGACGGCCAGTAAAAATGGAGACAAGGGTGAAAGCCAACCACAGCAGTAAAACAGATAAAAGAATACAAAAAAGGCGAAGAAGGCAGGAGACAAACCAGCAGTATGTCATGCAAATACATGAAACCTATAATTGAGCAGAGATTTTAGCAACAAAATTATCCATCGACGTGCAGGTCTTGGCCTGCGTTGGCAATGTTGCTCAAAACACATAGCCAGCAAAGATCAGGGATTTAGTGAATAGGGTGGAGGCAGCGCGTGGAAGGCGGAATGAGTTCCAGGTATTCCGTGTTTCGGAGAACCAATTATAAGCCTCCATATGCAAGGGTATTTTATTTAGTACATGTAATATTTTATGTATGAGAACACAGGGGTGGTACCTATGTCGAGTGGAAAGAGGACTGATCTTGGCAATTTCGTAAAGGCTACCGGAGGGCAAGCGACGATCTTTGCTTAATAAGATTTTAAGGAGCATGCGGTTATGGGTTTCTAGCTTGTTCAATACAGTAGTAGTTATGCCAGACCAAGCAGTATCACAGTAGTCAAGTAAGGGCAATATAATGCAACGATAAAACAAGCTTTTTCAAGAAAGAGGAAGGTGTCTACAGTGGGCTTGAAGAGCCCCAAGGATGGAGCTTGTGCGCTTGCAGACATACTGCACATGGGGTGAGCACGACAATTTGAAGTCAATAACAACGCCAAGATGCTTATGCTCTTCAACAATACGAAAAGCAACACTTGAAGAAGGAAAACAAAGTGGCAGGGAAGGGGGAGAAGGGGAAATGTACAGAACAGGGACAAGGTCTTGGTCAGCGGTAACTTTCCTCGTGGAGAGCTGTTTCATCCCCCTACACACCTGGCTTGCGCTGATAGGAGTGAAGCTGAACTTCTCGGCTAGTGGCAAGGGTTTGGTATTGCATGTCCACCGGGATTAGGCAGGCTTGAGTTTTTTGAGCTCCGTAGGTTTTCGTCGTTATTTCGCAGCCCACCCGGCATCAGGCCGGAGTGGAGCCCTTAGGAGTCGTAGTGTAGAATCGTAGCTTAGTGTAGAGTAGGTGATATTTTGAGTAGCTGTCACTCCCTGACCTACTCTCCGCCATGGACGAGCTGGCAGGTGAACCCCTGAGACTTCTGTGCAGTCTCCCAGGCATTGAAGCCAATGTCATCAGCTTGATCCAGCAATTGTCGTCGTATGTTAGTGAGTCTAGAGATAGAGAGGAGCGCGTGAAACGGCGTGTGGATGAGCTATGTCACGGGACACGTTTCAGATTTACGAGGCGAACTGAGCTCCTTGAGGCAGTCCGCCATTGCCCATGTCGACCAACAGCAACAAAAAGGCGAGGAGGTCAAGGAGAGTGCAGCTAGTAGTACGAATAGTACCCGTACGCTAACTGGAAAGTCTAAGCCGCGCACAAATACTAGTACTAGTAGTGAAAAATGCCAAAGCAGCAGGCAGAACACGTGGGAACGCACACTGAACCCCGTACCCGTAGCGCTGCCACACCCTGGCACGCAGGCAAGACGGTGCCCTCAGTGGACACGGAAACGGAGTACAATGTCATGTACTCTGACGCAGAGGGTACTGAACTCCTGCCAGTCAAGAACTCCAAGCCTGTGTTCAGCACCATCACGAACGACTCTTGGAAGTTGGTCTCTGCAGGACCACCCAAGACCAAGCGCTCTGTTGCCTATGTGGGCAACATCTCCCCAGATTGCACAGAGGACCGCCTGAAACAGTTCATCATGGACAGAAGCAAACAGGCAATGTCAGGCTCTTTCATTCCCGTGCATACCTGCAGTGTACATGCAGGAGGGAGAGTGGACGAGTATCAGCCAGAGTCACTGTAGATGCCACCTTCATGCCTATTGTGACCGCCCCCAACTTCTGGCCTAGGCCTTTGTACTGCCGACCGTGGTGCTTCTCCAAAAACTCTGGCGGAAACCGCAGCAGCAACAGCATAAACAGCAGCA